GCCCAATGCAATTCTTCGTGCAAAAAAAGGTCATTTGTCTCCTTGACTGTTGCTTCCATGATATTGATTGTGGATTCAAGTAAGAAGGAAATTCTTGACTCCAAGCTTTTCCCCGATCATCATGATGTTGCTATTGATCAAATTGCGAGGATTTTTTGTTTCTTTAAATTCAGAGGTAATCCATACTGAGGGTTGGAGTTGTTCACCTGGAGTGTTTCAATCCTATTGGCTTTTAACAAGAAGACCTATGATGTTTTCATATCACAGATTATCACTGTCTTGCTCCTCTCTCAAGGCCATGTGCTTTATATAGCCCAGCTTTTTAGATTATTTTCTCAGCGTACAGACTGAACAAATATGATCAAAGATATCACCCTGACATGCACCTTTCCTGTTCTTAAACCATGCGTTGTCTCTTTTTCTGCTCCAATGCCTATGTATAGAGTCTATATATAGATGCCACGTGAGCACAATTAGGTGTTCAGGAATTCTGATTTTCGCAATGCTATCCAAAATGTGCTAAGATCTACACTGTCAAGTGTCTTCGCATTCTCTGGCATTCTCTGCCTTCAGCCCAGAGTCTGCTGGCAATGGCAATGATAACCTTCTTTCTAGATCCTTTCCAGAATCTGCCTCGAATTCCTGGCAGTTTCCTGTTGTTCTGCCATAACCAATTTTGAATTATGTTCAGCAGTATTTTACTTGGGTGAGATCTTAATGCTCCTGAGGCCCCTATTTCCTAAGATTAAATGCGTAACTACAAAGAAGAGTCTCGTTCTATTGCTAAGTGAGGTAAAGCACTCTTCTGAGTAAAATAAATATATATTGGAATAAGTTAAGTGAAGTTTTGTCTAAAGATAAGGAATGATGCTGAACTCTGAATTCTCACAGCAACACATTATCTGTTCTCAACTTTCAAGGAAGATTTCAGAGCCATTCACCACACAATACACCCCGGTTTTAGAAGTCAAAACATTTTTGCTAACCTATTTTCTATTGTTCTGATCTCAGAAGTAATGGATAAAAGTACTTCATAAATATCAGTTCTCCTAATTGTCCCCATTCGAAAAGCTTTCTCTGTTCAAATAGCTTTCCAGTCTTCAGATGCTCCCCTCATTAAATGATGGTGTCTATGTATCACAGCTCATTTCTTCTTTTCTCAGTTGTTAAGAGGCTGAAAATTCGTTTTTGGGAAAACTGTTGTGCCCATTCTTACTTTTGGTGGAAGGATCCCACTATTTTACCCTCTTCATTACAAGATTGATATTTCTTTATCTTTATTTATTGGGCCTATTACAGTTGGGTCTTTTATTATGAGCTGTCAAAAATCCTTTGGGGAAGTACTTGGGGTATAAATAATAAATTGATAAAAGAATTCATGATTAAAGTGTAGACAGAATCCATCACTCTACCCTTCTGCTAACATATCAGTAGTGAATATCAAAGGGCTACAGTAACAATTAGCCTGTAATATATTGCTCCATAGAATTATACAGCCATATATTTGCCACCTTAATTTTTAATTCATTAGTAAATTTAAAGGATATTCATTAATGGAGTTAATATTACAGAAAAGAGCTTTTAATCTGAGTGAGTTTTTAATTGGAATTGGAATGGCAAAACGCTTCAGGGCAGCAATGATAACAACAGGAAAACTGGAGCTAGCACGGGTAACTTTAGTAGCGAGCAAGTAGAGGAGACGCATGAAAAGCGCAGATGCTCCACTTGTGAGCCTTTCCCCCTCCATATCCACGTGCAGACCCCTATACATACACCTGCGTGTAAAACTAAATAAGCAACCCCGCTGCTAACAATGGTATTCCACTCGTCTCAGGTAGAAGTTGAACTTTTGAAGCTCATGAGCAAACTAGTCTCCCATAGAAGATCATTTCATTCGCCAAGATGAAGCAGCTCTTTATTATTAATGCTGCAATGAAATGGCTTGGAATACAGATCTGTGGTCTGAACGGAAACGATGTTCCTGTCCTGAGCTCCAGGAGGGAGTTCCCTAAACCGTGGCCCCCATGCAGAGGGCTGTGTGCTTGTATTTCCATCACTGGCCAGCTGAGCAGTGGGGCTGTCATACGTCCCACTCTCCCTCCAGTGACAGCCGCATTGACAACATGTTATACTCCACATTGATTTTACAGTTAAGGAGCTGATTGTGATATATAGGGATTTTAAGAATTCAGCTGAGAGGCTGACTTTTGCCTTTTATCATTCCATTAAAATTTTATAACCATCTTTTTCATGTCATTTCACCCATGAATTCTTACTTTAGAAAGAGATAGCTACTGCTGTGAGAATAACTTTTCTCGTGTTCAGAGCTCTTATTGTATTAGCAAACTACCCCGATTATAGTTATTACTCATGTTTTACATAATTGTGGTGACCCTTTCAACCAAGTCGACGCATGCCAGTTGATTTGTATATAGAATTAGATGAGTCCGCTGATCATCTGGAAGCCCTGAAGGAGTCAGGTGTTAACACTTCCCTGCCCAAAGCAGCTAATGAAGCTGCTTGCAGCCTCTGCTCCTGAATGACACAAGTAGAAGGACTCTCCTTCCCAGAGAAGAGCCGGAGACGCTCAGTTAGCGCAGGAAGCCAATAACATGTATGCGGGCTTTTAAGGGGAAAATATGAAATTGCAATTGAACATCTTTTCTTTTTCAAGATAAAAGATCATCTTTAAGGCAAGACTGTGTTCTATGAGGGTTTGAAGCGCAAGTTCCTCTCGTTATCACGAATGTTTCACCTATCTTAGCGTCTTTGCAAGCAAAAGGGGCGGCGGGGGGCGGGGGTGGGGGTGGGGTGGTGGTTTATCCCCATCATAATGGGGAACAAACCGCATCATTGTTGTTTCTTTTCCCAGATGATGCTCACAGTTTGATAGTTCACATATGAGAAATAATTAGGCAAAATCCTCATGAAAACCCCAATAGCAAAAATTCTGGTTTTCAAATTCTGTTTTTATTCTTTTTGAGGAGCTGGCGGCCAGGGATAGGGTGAGCTGGGGTTAGACTTAAAAGACATGAATTTCCGTCACTGATTTTTCCCAACCCCGAATCTCCGAGGATTTCGTTTTCCAAAGCAGCGTGGGTATCTGACGAGGCATGCGCGTGCTTTCCTGGGGGAGATAGCCAAACCTAGATGGCCGTATAAATCAGAAAGGCCGGTGTCCCCATTGTGATATCCTAACTGCTACCTCTTCTGTATAACAGAGAGCAGAAGTAAGGCATGTCACCGTAGTTTTTCGGAAGCTTTGGCGTGAAAGGCTAAAGCAGCATGTACAATCCAGAGCAAAGATCACTGTACTTTTAGAATTTTTTTCCCCCTTGAAATGGATGCGTTACCAAATCGCAGACCCTGCCTGATGTCAGGGTTAGTGTGCTGTCAAACCCTGCCCCTCCCAAAGTAACGGGGCTTCTACCATCAGTCGGTGACAAATATGTGGACCCCGTTAGCGAAAGGGGGATCATCTAATCAGCTGTCCTTGCAGTTGCTGGGTTTGTGAAACAGTGGTCACCTTCCCAGTGAAGTCTCTGGTTTGACACTGAAACACACACCCAGCGCTGTTTTAAACAATTACTAGGTCCAAGTATATCCTTTTTTTAAAAAAGATTTTCAATAAAATCCAATGTTCACAGGGGGAAAAAAATCTCATAAATGTCAAAATTGCTGTGGGCAGAAAGGGGGATATACTATTTTCTTGATCTGTTGTAGCAATTTATAGATTCCAGGCCTTGGTTTATAAGAATGCTAAATGTTCTGGAATTACAGCTGTTACTGATCAGTGATTGAGCCAGATTTGTGTTATTGCACCATGTTCTTGCTTGTACCTAGAGAGCAGTAAAGCCTCAATATAATAAAAAGCACCTGCATTTTAAATGAAATTTCAATTGAAAAACTTAACAGCCCTTCAAATTGCAGAATTTAACGCAGCCCAGTAAAGCTTAAATAACACTTTGCCTCTGCAGGCTGAGGGGTTTGCTTTCAAGGTGACTTGATTGTGTCGCCTGGTGAAATTATTTACAATTAAGGAATTTCTCTGGAGGGCTGCAGAATACTTGCTGTTCCACAACACCTCTGCAGGCATATGGTGGGCCTCTTTCCGTATTCACGGAGCCTCCTGAACCTTTATGATAATTGAATCAGTTAGAGTGCTGAGTGGAGCAAGCATAAAACCTGTTAACCTAAAGGTCAGATCTGTGTATTGTTTATTTATCAGTAGGTGAAAGAGCTAAATCGGCAGCTTCTGTCACAGGCACAGTAAAAAATCACCTATAATATTAACAGGGAGTAGATAAATTGCAAAACCTGGATTAGAATGATAAACAGAACCAAGCATAATATAGAATGTATAATGAGAGATGCTGAAGGATTTTACTGGGCTGTAAAACATGCAGGTTTGTTATGCTAGTCTTATGGATTATAATTAGTTCCTAGGGCTCTAGGAAAAGTATGCTGGAAGCTAGAACTTCCTAGATTTCTCTTTTCCTATCCTTATTTCAAAAGAGTCAAGTTTTTTTTCAACCATTAGCTTTAATCTAAATAAAAGTGGCTTTTGATAAAGCCATCTTAGCAAGGTAAATGTCAATTTCTGTTCACTAATATTCAACAAGTATCCCAGTAAATTTATGAGCAACGTAGTTGTGGTATTTTAAGCATCCTACTTACATATTTATAAGCTTTGACCACATGTCTATTTTCATTCCCTTGAAGGAGAGTTGCCTCTGGGTGGTCCAAGCAACTAAGTCCTTCACCACTAGCCAAAAGGCTGGTCATTCAAACCCACCAAGAGATGCCTCAAAAGAATGGTTTGGTTATCTGCTTCCAAAGGTCACAGCTTTGAAGACTGTGGGGTGGTTCTAATCTCTCTCTATATATATAAGGGTCACCATGAGTCACCTCAGCTTTATTTTGAGGAGGTGTGGGAAGCTCCCATCAAAGTTTCCAAGAGGTAGACATATCACTTCTTGGATTTCTTCTCTATTTTCTAGAACCTGGGCCCATAGACCCTCCAGTTCTTCTAGATGTGAAGTCAAGAACAATGTTGGTCACCTGGCAGCATCCTCTAAAGTCCAACGGAGTTATAACTCATTATAATATTTACCAACATGGCCATCACTACTTGAAAACTTTTGGAAATGTTTCTACTTGCACACTGGTCCATTTGGACCCATACACTGCCTACCAGTTTCAGGTAGAAGCCTGCACTTCAAGAGGATGCTCCCTTTCACCGAAGTCCCAGATCGTATGGACACTTCCAGATGCTCCAGAAGATATCCCACGTCCAGAGCTGTTCTCTGATACACCAACCTCTGTGATTATATCGTGGATCCCCCCTGCCCATCCCAATGGTTTAGTGGAGAACTTCACAATTGTGAGAAGACCCAAAGGGAAGGAAGAAGTCACTACCCTGGTCACTCTCCCAAGACATCATCCCATGCGGTTTATTGATGATGTTCCTGCTCTTAGCCCATGGACAACATATGAATACCAGGTCCTGGTGAGCACTTTGAATGGAGGTACAAATGGCAGTGCTTGGGCAGAAGTTATCACAAGACCCTCAAGACCCGCTGGGGTCCAGCCACCCATGGTTCATGTGGTAGGACCCAAAGCATCCACGGTAAGACACTGGGTGTTTTCGCTCCTTTGTAGACAGAAATCTGTACGCCGGATCAACTAGGTGTGAAACAGAGCCATCTACTGACAACATGCATGCACTTGCTGTTAGAAGTGTTCACTGGAGACATTGGGTTCTGGGTTTTGGCCTTTGGCCCAAACCATCGTGAATTCAGTGTCAGTTTTTCATTTCCCCCCTCAATCCCTTAATTATATCCTTGTGATACTTCCATTTGCCTCACACACCTGAAATACTTTGAATGCCACAATGGGATGCTTAGCTTAACCACCACGTCAGATTTAAATAGATCAGAAAATGAGAAGATAGGGGGAAAACACTGAGGAATGGATTGGCATATTAGCAAAAGTTCCAATTACCAATATCCTGATTTCATTTTAACGATCAAAGGATCAAAATTATGGGGAAAGAAATAAAACTAGCACATTACAGAGCAATCGAGAAAGCATTCAATTATTCACCACATTCTACTGGGAATGAGCTCCAGAGGACAGGATAACTACCATTGTTTTGGCTTGCATACAAACTTCATTCAAGGGAAATTAGTGTAACCAAACAGCAGGGAGTTTCGTAGCTTAGAAGCCTCTTTTGTGTAAATACACACATGCTTCCATGGCTTCGGTCTTGTACTGATGCCAAAGACATGGGTACAGTAGCTTGCTCACCAGAGCACAAAACAAAAGACATTTGCGTAACAGCAAAGTCTGTCAGTTGAAATTATTATTTGGATCTTTGTTGTGTATTCTCTCCCCACCCCACTCACACCAAAGCAAAAACACATGGTGATGCCAAATAATATGAATTGTAGTACATACTTATTTTACCTATAAATGAAGGGCTATTTTTTTTAAAACCATCTATTGGTTTTAATGTGACACTGATCAAAGTAACACACCTTTTGTCAGAACGACAGAACTACCAAAAGGATATAGAACTCAGTTGATGAAACATGAAAAGGAAATGCACTTTAGGTATATATATAGGTACAATCTGTATTATAAGACTATGTCACAGCTACTTAATCTACTAATTAGAATGTCAGCCCACTAATCAGTTTTAAAAAGTCTGAGTGTCTCCTCATCTAAACAAAAAAGAGTTCCAAAGACGCTGCCATTGAGTCAATGCTGACCATGACCACCCAGAGGTCAGTGCAGAACTGCCCCTGTGAGTTTCTGAGACTGCGACTGTTTATGAGGCCAGAAAGCCCCAACTTTCTCCTGAAATAAAGGGGGAAAACTAAATCCTAGAATAATTATTCTATAAATGGGGAAATTTTACAAAATTTTGGCTAATCAACATGGTACAAAATAACAAGCACTGTCCCTTTGCAAAGGCAGAGCTACAGAATGAACATTTTTCTAGAATTAATAATAGGCCATGCTGATTTGGCAGAACTGGAAAAAAGAAAAAAATATCTTCAGTAAAATTTTAGCTTAGTGTATAGTACTACTTGATTCAACATACACAAAATATGATCAAAATTATCTACAAGTTGCCTTGATTTTTCTTTTAGTTCTTCCTTTTAATTAGTTTTTTGTTTGTTAAATCATTTTATTGGGGGCTCATACAACTCTTATCACAATCCATATATCCATCCATTGTGTCAAGCACATTTGTACATTTGTTGCCATCTTCATTTTCAAAACATTTTCTTTCAACTTGAGCCCTTGGTATCAGCTCCTCATTTTTTCCCTCCCTCAGGAACTCTTGATCATTTATAGATTATTATTATTTTTCATGTCTTACACTGACCAATGTCTCCCTTCACCCACTTTTCTGTGGTGCCTCCCCCGGGGGAGGGGGGTTATGTAGATCCTTGTGATCGGTTCCCCCTTTGTTCCCCCACCTTCCCCTTACTCTCATGGTATCACTACTCTCATTATTCATCCTGAGGGGTTTATCTTTTCTGGATTCCCTGTGTTTCCAGCTCTAATCTGCACCAGTGTATATCCTCTGGTCTAGCTGGATTTGTAAGGTAAATTGGGGTCATGATAATGGGGGAGGAAGCATTTAAGAACTAGAGGAAAGTTGTATGTTTCATCATTGCTATGCTGCACCCTGACTGACTCGTCTCCTCCCCATGATCCATCTGTAAGATGATGTCCAGTTGCCCACAGATGGGCTTTGAGTCTCTACTCCACACCCCCACTCAATCACAATGATATGATTTTTTTGTTCATTGATGCCTGATACTTGATCCTATCGACACCTCATGAGCACGCAGCTGGTGTACTTCGTCCATGTGGGCTTTGCTGCTTCTCAGCTAGATGGCCACTTGTTTATCTTCCAGCCTTTAAGACTCCAGTTGCTATATCTTTTGATAACTGGGCACCATCAGCTTTCTTCGCCACATTTGCTTATGCACCCACTTTGTCTTCAGTGATCGTGTCAGGAAGGTGAGCATCATGAAATGTCAGGTTAACAGAACAAAGTGTTCTTGCATTGAGGGAGTCCTTGAGTAGAGGCCCAATGTCCATCTTCTACCTTAATATTAAGCCTATAAATATATTCACATAGATCTATTTCCCTATCGTGATATATAAATATATTTACGTATGTGCATGCCTGTATTTAGACCTCTATAACTGCCCTTTGCCTCCTAGTGCTTTTCTCTATTTCTGTTTACTTTCCTCTTGTCCCACTATCTTGTTCAGCCCTCATTTGGTTTCAGTAATTCCTCTGTTACATTGCCCTTGATCAAGCCCTACCAGGCCTCCTACACCCTCCTTGCCATCGATTTTAGATCCCTTGTTGTTCCCTTGTCCCTGGCTTTGTTAACACCCACTTCCTTTCCCTTGCCTCCCCTTCTCCCATACCCACCCCCCAACCATAGGTCCCATTGTTTTCTCCTCCAGATCGTTTATCCCACCTATCTTATCTACATAGACCTGCAGAGATAATACTATGCACCAAAAAAAGACAGAGCAAAACAAATCAACAAAAGAAAACAAACCAATGACAAAAATAAAGAAAAGCCTATAAATAATTCAAGGTCTGTTTTTTGACCTTTAGGAGTGTTTTCTGGTCGAGTCTGATGGGGTGCCACGCCCTGGTCCCAAAGTCTATTTTTGGTATTTCCCGAGGACTTTGTTGATCTGCTCTCCTTGCTGATCTGCTGCACGCCCTTAGTGTTTCCTCTTGGTGTGGTGAGGTTAGATCAGGCGCAATTCCTGCACTGTGTCTCCAGTTTTGTCCTCCGCAGCACTCTGGGTCAGTGAGGTACATCATGTCCTCTGTGCATTGGCTGCTCTGAGCAGGAATATCGTCCGCAGGGCTAGGTGGTCCAGGAGGTGCCCCACTCTCTCTTCCTCCCCCTTCATTTGCTCCTATGTGCTCTGATCAAACATGTCCCTATCCCTGAGCTGTAGTTTTAGTGCTGTCCTCTGAAGTGAATTCTTCTGTTGGGATTGGGGCCAGCCCCTCAGACCTCTCTATTGGTAATTCTTTTTAAAGCCTCATCCCAGGAATAAAATAACGTGATTGACTAGCTTACTTATAGAGATTTGGATGAATATATAGCTCAACTCCAAAACCAAACCAACTTTACAACCATCAAATTGATTCTGACCCTGTGAATTTCCATGACTATACTTGTTTACAGGTGTATAAAACCTGTTTTTCTCTCGCAGAATGGCTGGTGGTTTCAAACTGTCGACTGTGCAGTTAATTGTCTAATTCTTAACCACTATACAACCAGGACTCCTTGTAGAGCTGAATTTCACAAGCCTTCAGCCGAGTTTTCACCCAGGCCAAGCATCTAAAAGTCTTTCAGGACTGAAATATAGAGACAATGTATGTGGTGGCTTCAAAAAGTTGGTGGAGTTTTCCCATTATCTTTTCATTTGTTCCATGAAATTTTGAAATTCCTTCACATACTAGTATTACTTTCATAAAAGCCACACCATTTATTTGCTCTCATTTTATAACTGATGAATCGAAAGTTAACAACGAAATCAAAACTTAACACAGGAAAATTAGCTGAAACTTGGAACTTATAACTTATATTTAAATAGCATTAAAATAACATGGCATATTTTTCCTTTAATGTCACTGGCTCAAATTATATTCAGAAAGTCCCTAAGATTTTGCCAAAGTACATGCTCTAGAGATAGACTACATCTGATAAGCCAAGGCAAGCAACAGGAAGACGGTGATTCCATCAGCAAGACAGTGATTTCATATAGGATTTAAGAGGAAGAATCGCAAAAGGAAAAAAGCCTTATGATGAATAATGAGAGGACACTCCTTGATACAATGGTTACAACATTTATTCAGAATTTACTATGCAGTGTTGTCCCAATTTCTAAGATGAAGGGAGAGGTCAATAATAATATCCACAACAGCAATTTCAGTTATATTAATATTTACTGAGCATCAGCACATCATAATGAAGACCTCCTCTGATCACTAAAGAGATCACACAGACCAAAAAAAAGGTTTATGGGGCTTATATTTTAGGCAGAATATAAACAGGTAAGTATATAATAAGCCAATAAGTGGCAAGGACTTCTAGGAGGGGTGGGAACAAATGAGCTTGAGAGGAAGAAGGACTAGAAGCTGGTGGGGTGAGGGATATAGAAAGGTGGAGTCGGTAGTTTAAGCAAGTTCTCCTCATGCTGAGCCCCAGGTTCTTTCAACTTTGCCGTGCCACGTGTACCAGTCCACAGTCCAAGGGGGCAAGTGAAGGAAGGAGACGTACCTAAGCCAACCGGAGAACGCATTCAAAGCCATACATTAGTAACTACAAAAGGTTGCTGGAACTTGGCATAGGTAGGAACATTAAGAAAGGAAAATGGAGATCTCAGCAGCATTTATCAAAATTATATTCGTGAAGATCATATTTGACCACAGGGAACGGAATAATGTATCACACCAAAGAGGTGGTATCATTTGAAAAAACTGAAAGCCATGTTTCTTTGTGTGGTATGTAATCCCTTAAAAGAATTCACTTCATTTTATAAAGTAAGTAAAAATGCTGTGCCAAGTTTGGAATTAGTTCAACAAAACTACAGGCTAATTTCATACATGAACATGGATACAAAAAATTCTAAACTCATACTGGCAAATTGAATTAAGTAATGTGTCAAAGTAGTGATGGAGCAGGAAAAATCTGATTTTATTCCAAAATTGTAAGGATGGTTCAACATCAGGAAATCAATCAACACAGATTTTATATTAGAGCAGAAAAACCATGTTCTATCAAAATTGCAAAACAAATATTGATAAAATGTTGAAGTCATTTTTACCAAAAAATCAAAATAAAACCAGATTAGAAAGAAAGTATTTAAATATTATAAAGTCTATAAGTCTGCTTCAAGGAAACCCTCAGGAAAATTGAGGATTAGGAAGAAATAAAAACGGAGGCCTAATGGCGTAATTGGCTAGGCATTGAACTGATAACCATAAGGTCAGTGGTTCAAACCCTCCAGTTGTTCTGTGGGAGAAAGGTGAGACTACCCACTCCCCTAAAGTCTAGGAATCCCAACAGGACAGTTCTCCTCTGTCCTGTAAAGTAGCTATGACATGGAGAATCAACTCCGTGTCAGTGAGTGAGAGTGAAGAAATGAAAAGAAATATTGAAATTATTTAACTGTGATGCAGAAAATATATATATAACTTATATGTATATAATTACATACATATGTATATATAATTTTATGGTGATGGCCTCACCTGCAGCACCATAGGCTCACCTTGTTATTGTTAGGCTCTCTCAGTTCTGACCTGTAGTGACCCCATGTGACAGTAGAATTGCCTTGCAGGGTTGGGGGCCTGTACTCTTTATGGAAGCAGTTTGTCAAGCAGTTCTCCCACATTGCTGCTAGAGAATTTCAAACTGCCAACTACTTTGCTAGCATCCAGTCACTTAATTATTTACACAACCATGGTTCCAGGGTCCCCAAACCTACCCGGATCTTGCCACTGTCTCCAAAAAAAGAGTGATGATTGGGCCTCCAGTTCAGAAGTCCCCCGCTGTGCTACAGTCAAGAGGCTGGGACCACAGCCTGTGTGTGTGTCTGAAAACCAATGAGGGTGCTTAGAGCCACACCCACAGTGGTTTCCACGCTGGTAAACTGTTTGTTTTCGGCTTAGATTCAACCCAAATAGAGTTGAACCTCAATGATCGTTCTCACCAATTTTTTGAAGATGCCTTTCAATTTTTGAAGCCCCTGTTGTCTACCCTAACACAAACAATGAAAACTTAAAAATCTTAAATTCTAAGAATAAAAAAGAATAATGACCACTAATTTTTATTGCATTTTCTCACGATGTTCTAGTCACTTTCCTCATTTAACCCTTCCAACCATCAGAGATAGCCCATTATTAACCCGTCACATACTGTACAGGAGAACTGAGGATTGAGAAAGTAAATAAGGTTCACAAGATTGTATGGGAATTAAGGCTAGGATTCACCTTCATTTAGTATGCTCCAAATTCCATGCTCTTCTCTATTTCTTACACCCTAATAAATGGACTGACACAGAGGCTCCAACATCACAACAGTGGCGAAAATGGTGCAGGACGAGGCAGTGTTGCATTCGATTGTACAGTCGCCGAGTCAGAGCTGACTGACAGCACCTGAAAACCACCACCAGTGGGCCATACCCCATGTCCTGGAGGGAAAGATTGAACAGCGGTATCAATCCTTGCAAAGTCGCCATATAAGTATACCATTGACTCCTTTTGTTGTGTTTCAAATGGATTTTAAAGTATAAAAAGAAAACTAAATATCCTAAAATAATGAGCTAAATTACGGAAGAACCATGAGACGATAACTTCCCTAGTCAGACTTCCTCTCAAGCCCTGAATTACAACAGTATGATATTGGCATACAAACAGCCATTCATGTCTGAAACAGATTGCACAGTTTAGGAAGAGATAGAAGTATATTTTGAAACATGAGTTATTATAGAAATGGCATTAGATTTAATTATGAGAAGATCATTTACATTTAAAAACTATAATTGCTTTTTTTTGGGGGGGGTGGATGTAGAAACACAATCCTTCTTCAGGCTAGGCAGATACAGTTCAGTCTCAATTTTATGGGATGCAAATATTTCAATAACCTGTCCTGGATATATAATGTTGGTCCTAGGTAATAATATGGAATGAAAGTTGTTAATCTCATACCTTTTGGCCATACAAGGATAAGTGTGGTCTTAGACATAGGAAAAAACAGAATAAAATATTTAGCTAACTGGCTCTTTACAAATATTGGACACATTTATTTTTAATAAGGTCTCCAGGATATTTGCAGGAGGTGATCAGATTACTGTTTCTGTTAACCTGCCAATTTCTTCTCTACTTTGTTATAAAAGGATGTTGTATATAGTCCTTCTAAAATGTTTTGTACCGTCAGTCGATACCTTATGACTCTCTGCTGTCAATAGAATATATTTTCTAATTCCATTACCTTTAAAGTAGAAGGAAGTATCTAATTTTCCTTGTAAATATTTATAGTAGAGAACATAAGGAGTCTTTGGATCTCCAAATGATTGTCAACAGAGCCACTACATCAAATCTCTTCATCTCTGCTGGTAGATTTATTATCCAAGTTTTATTTTATGCACACACTTTCACAGCCTCAATATCTGGTTTCAAATCAATTCACTGTTAGCTCAGCTACTAACCCAGATGATCTAAACTGCACTCCTTTCAAGCGCTTCCAAACTGACAACTCAGGATATTCACATCCTACAAGAAAGGGGAATGGTATGCCACAGATCTCTCACTGCCAAGTTGATTCTGACATAGGCCAGCCTGGGGGCCTAGTGGTTACACACTGGACAGCTACATGCAAGGTCAGCAATCCAAAGCGAAGGAGAAAGGGCAGTTTCTACTCCATTGAAGAGTTGCATCTCAGAAACTCATGGGAGCAGTTCTACCCAGTCCTACAAAAGAGTTGGTGGTTTGGAACTGTTGTCCTTCTGGTTAGCAGCCCAAACTGGTCACCTTTATGCAACCAGGACTCCTCCATAAGACAAATTAGTCATGTGGACTTTAGCTCTGATTGCTCTTCCACATCTCATTCACATCACAAATACCAAGAAGCCTGAGGTGGACCTTACCTCTTCAATTCGAGAACTGCCCTCACAAATAGAATGCTAGACTGCTCTAAGCCCTTATTTGCCCTAAATTTAGTTGCTTGCTCACGAGCATGCTCTCTCTCTCCCTTCCTTTCCCCTCTCCCTCCCCATCGCCTTCCACCTCCCCCTCTTTGTTTTCTTTCTTTCTTTTTTATAACTGGACAATCTTATGAGCTCAGAAGAAGCATGCCTAAAACTTCTCTTCACTCAGCACAGCGTTGAATTCTAAAAGAGAAAAATATGCATCAGTAATGCTTTTTTGGGTAATGCTTTCAAATCATGTGATTAAAAAATCCAGGTAGTTCCTGGGTCATGGTGAATATAAAGCTCCATAGTGGTCTTTAGACAACTGCCCTGTTGGCAGGCTCAGAGATCCTGTTTTGTCACCCGTGATTAGTGAAAAGACTAGTGGTCATCGTTTCCAGGGCAACTTGGAGAGACTGCATGTGGTACAGAGTAGAACCAGGATCCAGAGAGTGTCCATGTCTGTGACCTTTCTGCAAACAGATCACCTGCCTGTCTTCTGAGGCACCTCTGGGTGCCCTGGAACTGCCATCCTTTGTAATGAAAGTGCAGTGCTTAACTCTGCAACCCTTCATAAGAATATTCTTTGAAAGAAATCTCAGGCCAGATTCCTTCTAGGGGCCACTTTTACTCTTTGAGGTAAGCTAGATATTTTTGCTCAAGGCCTCTCTCATTTTTCTAGCTCTCCTCTGACTTAGCTATTGTATAGCATTATAAGCATTGATGTTCTTGTGGAAGTCAATTTTTTAAATCAGTCACCTTGTATAAATCAAGTTTTTAAAAATTCAATATAACTTTATGTTAAGGGAACATATTATAATCTAATAGGTCATGTCTACAATTGCATATTGAACTCCACCTCTGTAAATGACATTAAATGAGTGAGTAGTCCTTGCTTTACAGTCCCATTGGGCAGTGAAATATGTACTCTGAACTTGAAGGAACATGGCCAGGCAGTAATAAAAGAGATGAAGCAGGATGGCATATCTGGGTAAATAAGTGATGATCTCTAATGGTCTAGGTACACTTTCCTAGGGCCCTTTCCCCCAACACCAGAATATGTGTGTGTGTGTGTGTGTTACAACTATGCCTTTGCAAAATTGCCAGCCAATAAAATAAAGAGTAGGTGTTATGGTATTCCTTTAAGAAGTGTTATTATTTTTCTTTCTTCTGGGTTCTTAAGTCCATGAATTACTTAAACAAGACTAGTCTTGGCTTGCTTTTGAGAAAAAATAAAATCTATCTTTGAGAATAGAATGCTATTTTTGGCTTACTTGCTGAATTTATGCAGAAGAGGAATTCAAGAACCCAAATGTTTTGCCACCTCAGAAAATGCAAATAAGAATTTCTCCTGCCCTCCTCCTAAAAAGAAAAAGGTAGTGACATAGTTATAATGCACACTAACAAGGCAAAGCAGTGTGTTCCGATGCTTTATTTAATTGAGTGATAAACACGAAAACTATCAAATCCTGCCGCTGCCCTATTGATGCATGTGGATGTGTGAATTCTCTCCATGTGTTTGCTCTGTGTCCTTCAGAACACCCACAGTGGAGATGAATCACTAAGGTGTGTACTAGTCTGATATCCTAGAAAGTATCAAACCTCAACACCAAACCCAGGAAGCAACATTGCATTTAATTCCTGGTGTACTGCTAATTGTTCCAAAACCCTTCATTACTATTTAGCACAAAGGGGCTAAATAGAAAGTAAGTGTGTAGGAGATGACTTAAGTGAAGATAAGACAAGGCAAAATTCTAGGGCCCGTGAACTTCACTTGCTCTGTTCTTGTATGGGCACACTGATTCTAAATTTGTCTTTCATTTCAGGTCACGTGGATACCCCCGCTCATCCAGAATGGAGACATACTTAGCTATGAGATCCGAATGCCCAACCCTCAGATCATGATGAAAAATATTACATCCGCTGTACTTACTCAGCTAATAACTAACTTGATTCCTTTCACAAATTATTCTGTCACCATTGTGGCTTGCTCAGGGGGCCATGGCTACCTAGGAGGGTGCACAGAGAGTTTGCCCACCTATATTACCACCCACCCCACCCTACCCGAGGATGTTAACCCCTTGTTGGTGGTTCCGCTAAGTGAATCATGTATTGGGATATCTTGGCAACCACCATGCAAGCCAAACGGACCTGACTTGAGGTAAGAGAAAGGAGCATTGCTTTGGGGTAGTGCTATGGACTTCTCTCTCTGGAACAGAGTGAGGCAGAGCTGCTGCTCACACATGATGAAGTCGGACTGTGTTTTATAGGACATGCCTTCACTCACGACTCTCATTAAATTTAATATTGTGTATCTTGATTCATATGGAACCATAAAGGTTCACCAAGGTGGAAACATTATATTCTAAAGAAAAATTAAAAATATTTAAAACAAAACTCAGACTGTCTAGGCATTCTGTACGTGTTAGTCATCTTGATTCTCAAAATACATTTTATATTTATTAGACAAGCTGTATTAGGCCAGTTGACTAGAGAAACAAATCCAGAGACATTCATGTCTGTGTAAGAAAGAGTTTTATATCACGAAGTAGTTATAGTTATATATCAAGAAAACATCCCAGCCCTGTCCAATTCAAGTCCATAAGCCCAATACTATCCATAAGTCCCTCTTTAGACTCTGACAGCCATATGCAATGATGCAGAATGGATTATCACAGGACGGTGCGTGCAAAGTCTTGTGGATCCAATGGCGGTGGACACACCTCCAGGGATCTGGAAGCAACCAGGGTCAATAGGAAGGTGAAAGCAGAGAGAGAGGAATAGGTTCCCAGGATTCTCCTTATGAGCAGGCCACACCCACAAGAAGGCACCATCAGGCTGTGACCTGATTGACAGGGTGAACTCAACCCTACATTTTATATATCTTCAAGTTGATATGAAATTATGTTACTACACACAAGCCTAACACATTTCAAAATGATACTTTTGTACAACTGTGACTCAGCCTCATAGGACACCTTGGTGGTGTAGTCGGTTACATGTTGGGTTGCTAAAGACAAGATAAGGAGTTTGAAACCAACTGCTCTGTGGGAGAAAGATGAGGCTTTCTACTGTAAATAGTTACAGTCTTGGAAACCCAGAGGGGAAGTTCTAGTCTGCCCTATGGAGGCATTATGAGTCAGAATTGACTAGATGGAACTAAGTTAGTTTAGTTAGTTAATGATTTAAAATCCCAAATTAACAACATTTTAAGGCACATTAATTCTATTATTTGGAAACTTAGAAGGACTGTGATTGGGGATAGCAATAAGATGAAGGAAAATAGTTATGATTCTGAAATGGCTTTATAACAGTCCAAATTGAAAATGTAGCCGATAATAGTATCATAGTTTTTAAAAGATGGAAGGGAACAGTCTATGGAAATCTTTAACTGCACACGCATTTTGTATTTCAACTTTGTGAGAAACTGACAATAAAGTATTTGCAAATCTCACATAGAAGAAAAGTTGAAAACCCTATAATTCTTGCTGTTATTAGTAAAATATGTATATATGGGGGTTTCCAAAAGTTCATGGAAAAATTCCATCATCTTTTCATACCATTCTTCTGTGAACTCTGAAAAACCCCCGAATAACAGATAGCTTCAATATAATTAAATATATGAAAACTTTCATTCAAAAATATTTATCTGGGGTGGGGGGGATATTACCTCTGTAGTTGTAAACATAAGATGTGTTCTTTACAGTTTGCATGCATATACCACACATCCACACACCACAAAACAACCTGAATTTTGGTAATAACATTACTTGAGATAATCCTGATGTGCCTGCTTGTATTTTGCTTTAGATATGAGCTTCTGAGACGTAAAATTCAGCAACCACTTGCATCAAATCCCCCAGATGATTTAAATCTGTGGCACAATATTTATTCAGGAACTCAGCGGTTTTATGAAGATAAGAGTCTTAGCAGGTAAGATTACAAAAACAATAAAAACAAATGCTGGCATTTAGTTTTAGCAGTGTTGAATAGTTCAAAGTGTCTGAGTGTCTTCATTGTGTGAGCATGTTATCGGTTATGCAATAAAACATGTTTGATTATTATCTCTGGCATTAATCATGGAACTGCACCTGTCAGCACATTTAATGTTTGCCATTTTAACTACATGTTTACAATAAGCCTTTTGAAGTCAAACTTTTAGGTGCTTAAGCCTTAACCTATTGCCTTTGTCACAGCACTATCTGGACATGAAAACTTAATTGAAGAATTTGGAAGCAGTCAGTATAAACAAAACTGGGGAATTTTGATGAATCCCTGCAATGCATTTGCTGGTTCTGGGAAGTAATTGATAGTAAATAATTGACTCAAAATTGACAATTATTCAGTAAACAGGCATGAGAATTGAAAGAATGTAATCTAGAGTTCAAACACATCGAGACAAGCAAACTGGCAATGTCGGGAAGAAGAAGACAAACAATGAGCACTGAGCGGGAGAGTTATATTGGAGGTCTGTTTCCTGCTGGGCCAGAGAGCCAGCTTTGTGACCTCAGACAAGGCTCTCCCTCCTCTGGGCTTCCATTTCTTCATTTTTAAAATAAGGAGACTGCATGTTGCCATTAAATGAGTTAAAGCCCTCTATGACTTTAAACAATGTATTTAATGTTTAAAGATATATAAAAAATTTAGATATCATATTTTTCCATAATTCTTCAATCAGTTGCTTATGTTTCTAGCTCTACCACAGAGTAGCTATCCTCAGAATGCTGTTTCAATTCTGACATTTCTCCCACTTTTTCGTATACTCTTGTGGAATTTATGTTTTAGCTCTATTTGCATGTTTTTTAACAGCTCATAAGCAATACTCCTGAACTCATTTCTCCCCATTGCTGGCTTTTCCTTTTGTCTTACTAGATTTTCCTTCATTTTTCAGCCTCCAGAAAGCTTTCCTTGACCACTCTTTGCTAGACTCAATCAGATACCTTTTTATGTTTTCTCATGGCACACATTTACACAGCACTTTTGGTTTTTTGCAAATCTCACATAGAAGAAAAATTGTTCACCAAATCAGTTTTCAACTCATAGTGTCCCTAAATGGTAGAGTAGAATTGCCCCAATAGAGTTTTTGAGACTGTATTTTTTTTTAACAGTTTATTGACACTTCATCCATGGATCATACAATTTAATAATTCAAACATATCAAGAAGAGTTGTACAATCTTTAGCACAATCAATTTTAGAAAATGTTCTTTTTCTCTGTACCCATTATTCATCTAATTTTTTTTTCAATTTTGGGGAAAATATGCACAACAAAGCATTCACCAATTCAACAACTTCCATATACATAATTCAGTGCCATACTCTTCATGTTGTACTACCATTATTATTCTTATGCCTCTCCAAATTTTTCCACCACCATTAAAATGAACTCAATGCCCACTAAGCAAAAACTCTTCTTCCTTCACCCATCATAACCATAGTTCAAGTTTCATTTCTTTTCTTTTTTTTTTTTTTTAGTAGTTCTCTTGATCACACATTTCCATAAACTTTAATCTTTATAGGAACAGCCCTACCTACCCAAGAGCCCTGGGTACGTTTCAACCACCAAGCTTTCAGTTAGCAATTGAGCTCTAACTCAGTGCCACTGGGGCTCTTTAACAATATTCTTCTCATAGTAATATACCGGACTGGAAGTTTGGCTGAACACCCAATTATGTTATCAGAACCACCATCCAAACTCATAGAGACCTACCATAGGAAAGGGGTCTGTCTTAATGTCTTTTGTATTCCAAGTCCCTAATATAATCAAACCAAATCCACTACCACTGAGGCAATTCTGTCTTATCGTGACCTTATTTAGAGTTTCCAAGACTAAATATTTATGGCAATAGACAGCCTCATCTTTCTCCCGGGGAGAAAGTGGTTTGAACTACTGACCTTCCAATTGGCAGCCCAATGCCTAACAAACAGGGATTCTTTGTCCCTATCATACAGTGCCTGATATATAAGGCACTTGTTAGATGATGCAAAGACATTGAGAAGAATGGGAATTCCAGAACACTTCATTGTGCTCATGCAGAACCTGTGCATGATTTAAGAGGCAGTCGTTCAAACAGCACAAGAGAATACTATGTGGTTTAAATCTGGAAAGATGTGTGTCAAGGTTGTATCCTTTCATCTACTTATTCAATCTTATGGTGAGAAAATAATCAGGGAAGCTGGACTATAGGCTTATTAAAAACCTTCCGTGGAAATTGAATAAGGAAGACCAAAGAAGATCCATGTATTGGAATCATGCTGCTGGGGAGGAACATGGAAACAACCATGGACTGCCAAAAGAACGTGCAGATCTGTCCTGGAGCAGGTACAGCAAGAATACTGTTCTTTTTTTGATCATTTTATTGGGGGCTCATACAACTCTTATCACAATCCATACATACATTAATTATGTAAAACACATTTGTACATCAGTTACCTTCATCATTCTCAAAACATTTGCTCTCCACTTAAGCTCCTGGCATCAGCTTCTCATTTTCCCCCTCCCTTCCCATTCCCCCCTCCCTCAAGAACCCTCAATAATTTATAAATTATTATTTTGTTATATCTTACACTGTGTGATGTCTCCCTTCACCCACTTTTCTGTTGTCCGTCCCCCAGGGAGGAGGTTATATGTAGATTCTTGTAATTGGTTCCTCCTCTCCACCCAACCCTCCCTCCACCCTCCCAGTATGCTACTCTCACCACCTATCTGTACCTGTGTACATCTTCTGGTCTAGTCAGATTTGTAAGGTAGAATTGGAATCATGATAGTGGGTGGGGAGAAAGCATTTAGGATCTAGAGGAAAGTTGTATGTTTCATCGTTGCTACACTGCACCCTGACTGGTTCGTGTCCTCCCTGTGACCCTTCCATAAGGGGATGTCCAGTTGCCTATAGATTGGCTTTGGGTTCCCACTCCACACTCCCCCTCATTCACAATGATATGATTTTTTGTTCTTTGATGCCTGATACCGGATCCCTTTGACACCTCATGATCACACAGGCTGG